TGTGTGTGTGTGTGTGTGTGTGTGTGTGTGTGTGTGTGTGTGTGTGTACATATACATACATGTGTATATATTTCTTTAGTTTCCTGAATCCCTGTTTCTTACTCCTACCTTCATTTAGGGATGTCGCAAGTTAAATTCTTGTGTAACAACTCCTTGGTGTAACAAATCCATTCATGTAGTAGGTGGAGCTTCAGCTCAAAGGCCAAGGAATTTGACCGGCGTCCTGCAAGGTGCTTGCTTGTTCAACCAGTATTCCTGTGACACCTATTAACCAGCAGCCATGCCAAGAGTTTGGCATCATTACCTGAGATGGGTGTTCCCATCCCTTTTACTAAAAAATAAAGGTTGCTGCTCCTACTTGTGTACGGAAATTGAATGACAAGTTTAAAAGAATGCAAGTCTGGCTTTTGCAAAACTGAATTGGTCCTTTCTGCCTTGACCTAAAACTTCTCTAGTAGTTGATGGTCTTTTGTGAATTACACCATTGTAGGCATGAACCTTATGGGCAGCAGTATCCTGGACAAGGGCCTCCCTCAGGACAGCCACCCTATGGAGGACACCAGCCTGGAATATACCCACAGCAACCGGTAAGGCATAAAGGAGGTAGGAATTCTCCCTCTCTCTTTCAAAAGCTAGTTTTCCTCAGTCATGAAGCTTGATTCATTTAATTAGTATTAATGTTTCACCAGATTAGGTTATGAAGTTGAACAAAATATTTAAACATCTCTTTTTTTATTTAAAGGATTAGGGGTATATTTCATATTCAGCACCATAAGACATAGCAGAGATTCTGAATCTCAAAAATAAATATTATTTGTAGTATCATGAAGCATATTAAAACATCTTTGACACATTGTATAATATTTTATAACAAGGGTATTTTGAATGCTTGTGTTAAGTTTGTGTCTACCACATCTGCTTCAGGATTTAAGGCAGAAACCATATCCTTCCTGTGTGCTGAACAGAATTTTTAGTGTCTAGTTTAAAATAATAAATGCTAATGTCTTTAGAATGTGGTTAACTTATTTTGCTTTTTAATTGATTCATTGAATTATCTAACTTAATGTTTGAATAGCTATAGTAGCCATATACAAGAATAAAGCTAGGCAGTTATTTGCAGTTTATTTTAATTTTATAGTATTTCTGCTTAGCTAGTTAAAAATAATGGTGAAGGTATGTGCACCTCATGGTATGATTTTTCATACTCATAGGATACCAATATCTTTTTGGAAAGTTTGTAGCAAACTAGAGAGGGTTTTTGTTTTGTTTCTTTTTTTAACGTTTATATTAATGAGTAAATATATATGACAATGATTTATTACTGAACTAATTTAACTTAATTAGATTTCCAAAATAAAAGGAGGAGAACATACTCTCTAAGAACAATCATGCGTACGCTGGCAGTTCACCGACCTAATGAAAAATCAGTATAGGAAAATATTAAGCTATCTTAGGTATTAGGATAATTCAGAGAATGCTTTAGAGAGAAAAGTAGACTAAAGGCCTTATTCCTGATCCTGCCCCTTCAGAAACTAAAACCAATTCAAGATTTCATTGGAGTTTATGATGTGAACTTGGATGGGACCAGAGATGTTCTGCCTAGATGGAATAGCTGTGGGAATAGTTCATGTTAGGTAACATTAGCATAGCCTGAAAAGTTACCCAAAGCCACGTGTAAGTGGAAGCCTAACCTAGGGGTGGGCCAGGGAATTTATTTTATTATGGGACCCTTCAAGATTTGCCATCCACTTAATGAGATAATGTATATATAGCACTTTTCAAATCCTAAAGTACTATCAGTTATCATTATTGCAACATTCTCCTATAAATAATGTCCTCAGATTTTTGTGGTGAATTGGTTACACTAGAAAATTCCAGTGTAAAAGGATTTTGATTATTTTGATTTTATTTGTTTGATTTCCGTGAAAGTTTTAAATATCTAAAACCTCCAAGTGCTATAAAAAATCTTCCTCAGGCATTCTATTAGTATTGAAAAATAATCATAAATTACCATTCCTCAATATTTATAGGACCTTTTCTCTCTTTTAAGTGAATTTCCTACTAGGTCATTTCTTTTTTTTTTCTTTTGCATAATTTAAAAGTTGATGTGTGTGATTGTTTCCCTGACAACACATTTATATAATTCATTTTAAATTAATTTCAGAACTACAAACGTCACATGGATGGCATGTATGGGCCCCCAGCAAAACGCCATGAGGGAGACATGTATAACGTTCAGTATGGCAGCCAGCAGCAAGAAATGTACAACCAATATGGCAGTACTTACTCTGGACCAGACAGGAGGCCCATCCAGGGACAGTATCCATATCCTTACAACAGAGAACGAATGCAGGGCCCAGGTCAGATGCAGCAACATGGTATACCTCCTCAGATGATTGGTGGCCCCATGCAATCATCCTCAAGTGAGGGTCCTCAACAGAATATGTGGCCAACACGAAATGATATGCCTTATCCGTACCAGAACAGGCAAGGTCCAGGAGGCCCCGCACAGGCTCCCCCTTATCCAGGAATGAACCGCACTGATGAAATGATGGTACCTGATCAGAGGATAAACCACGAGAGCCAGTGGCCTTCTCATGTCAACCAACGGCAGCCTTATATGTCATCTTCAGCCTCCATGCAGCCCATCACTCGACCTCAGTCATCCTACCAGACCACACCATCGATGCCAAATCACATCTCCAGGGCTCCCAGCCCAGCATCCTTCCAGCGCTCCTTAGAGAACCGCATGTCTCCAAGTAAATCTCCCTTCTTGCCCTCCATGAAGATGCAGAAGGTGATACCCACGGTTCCAGCATCACAAGTCACAGGGCCACCATCCCAGCCACCCCCAATTCGACGAGAGATCACCTTCCCTCCAGGGTCTGTAGAAGCATCCCAACCTGTCTTGAAACAAAGACGAAAGATTACCTCAAAAGATATTGGTAAATATTACAAATGGCTTCTTCCACATTTAATTCCAGTATACGTTAGAAATTCACATAAAGCCTAAAAGAGGAAACCTCATATCACTTCTGAGTATCAGGGCATTGTTTTACAGAAGGAATTGCTGGAGGGAAAAAAACAACCTGAACTGAGGAAACAGTGAAGGGGAACCTGAAAATAGCATTTTAATTGGTGAATGGTATGTGCTTCAGTGATTAGAGCACCAGGCAGCAAATCAGGAACTGAATTATTGACTCTGCATTTTTACTTAACTACCGGGTGACCTTAGGCAAGTTACTTAAAATATGTTATGATAACACTTACTTAACAACAGTATCAAATAGCTTATTAAGACTTGAAAATAACTCCAAACATTTTAAAGGGAAAACCACTCCATAACTTCATTTATAGCCTAGGAACTGATCTAAAAACAAGAAGAATTGTCATTAATGTAATATAAATAATTGATATAATGCATGCAGACCCACCATACAAACCCACCACACACACACACACACACACACACCCCATACATGAGCCAAGCTCCTTTCTGGCTTTAATACTGACCTGTACAGGCTGCTCTGAATTCTTATTAGAAAGTTTTAGATGACTAAAAGTACACACTATTTTTTTGCATGTTAAATGAGGCTCTTTCAAATACAGTACACACAAAAATGGATAACTCCATTTTGTCCTCAAATGGCAAGGAGAAATATTTCTAAATACCTCGGCTTACTTGAAATGATCGACAGCAACAAAAAGCCTTTCTTAGTAGTGATGGAAGATGAAGGAGAACATTTTATAGCAAAGATTGATTTTCATCATTGTAGTAAACAGTGTCACTTATACCTTTAATATCTCAAATCCTTTCTTCTTGCTCCTTTACAGTGAACTTCACTTTGTAACCATCATAAGCAACTTCATACACCTTATTATTGCTGTTGTTTGATCATTCATGACCCCTTTGGGGGTTTTTTGGGCAAAGATACTGGTGTGGTTTGCCATTTCCTTCTCCAGCTCATTTGACAGATGAGGAAACTGAGGCAAACAGGGTGAAGTGACTTGCTCAGGGAAACACAGCTGCTAAGTGTCTGATTGGAACTGAGAAAGAGAAGTCTTCCTGACTCCAGGCTCAGCACTCTATCCACTATGCTGCCTAGCTGCCCCATACCTTATCAAGCCGTGTATAATTAGTCTGATTAGTTGCAGCCTGTTGTCTCTGTTTGGTAGGGCCTGCTAAACCAGGAGTCCCCCAAATGTGCTTGTATTCCTTACCTTACCATTATAAGAAAGTGAATGGGGGGAGGTGTGTTGGACCCTGCTTTTATATTTGCCAAACCTATATTATTTTGAGATATACTCTGCTCACCCTCACTCTAACTAGTAGTCCTCCAAGGATTTGTAAAAGTAGAAAGTAGCAAGAAGAAAGCAACTCTTATTTGTTGACTATGAAATCATTAATAAACTCATACTTAATGCCCTTTCCATACTCCACCCCCAACAACAAAAAGACAAAATAGAATAGAATAAATGAAAGACATTATTTACTTACTACCAGGAGAAGTGTATGTTCAGCCTACAAAAAATGTTAGAAGCACATTTGAGCTATAATTGCTTTCTAGCTCAGCACCCTAGTTTTGAACTTGAAAACTTCCAGGCTTAGCTCTGGCCTTTAAAATCAATGTTGTTAGCGTTCTGACTTCAGTAGTCTGTATCTTCATTTCACATTTCTTACCCCTCCGCTCATTTAGTCTTTAGACCATCACAAATCACTGATGTTAATTTTCTACCTTTTCTCAGTAACTCCCGAGGCATGGCGTGTGATGATGTCCCTGAAATCGGGCCTTTTGGCTGAAAGTACGTGGGCTTTGGACACTATTAATATCCTCCTCTATGATGATAGCACCGTGGCTACATTCAATCTCTCTCAGGTAAGAGGAATAGCCCTCACATACAAAATAAGGGCTAACAGAGAGAATCCTGCGAGCTTTAACTCATACATAGTGCTGGAATTGATGACAGGGTTAATTATTGCTAGCATGGCTGGTGTTTTTAATCACCTTCACTGTCACAAGCCACTGTTTCTGGTTGCAGTAAAATACAGTAATCCAAAAAATACGAACTTGACATAGGATAGAGACAAATTTCAGTCTCTTCAAATTGTAGCTGTTTCTCATAATTCTCATCCTGACCTCTTATTGTTGTGGTTAATATTCATTAACAATCAGCAGATTAGTACACTATGTCTGTGTTGACATTTCTGTTTTCAACCTAATAGTTTGTTTATTTAACTATTAGTGCTTTCTTCATTAAAGGCTATTAACACATTTTCTTGTGTTTGTTTGCCCTGCCAGAGTGATTAACTGTACTTGTACTTAGCCTTTTTTCACCAAAGCTAATTGTTGGGGGGGTTTTTTAAAGAGACAATTAAACAAAACTATTAGGCTGAGAACAAATGTGTCAACACAGACATAATCCACTAATTTGTTAATGTTGATGACACTAACCAGTAGATGGGCATTGATCACAATATAACAAAACTCATCATAAAGTCATTGCCAATGTCGGGGATTGAAATGGGAAATGGAATTTTTAGGAACCATCCCACAGGAAAGGACAACCCCCCCCCCCCAAAACAAAACAAAACAAAACACACACACACACAAAGAAAACTCAAGATGAATAGGTTTTGCCGCTTTCTGGGGACACCCTATGTGAGATCATGCTATATAACAGAGTTTGAAGGAAATGGGGGGAATGTAAAGTAAACCTAGAAAAGGTCATCTTATTTGAAACATCATTTTCTTCAAATATTTGAAGGACTGTTAATGCAAAAAAAGGAGGTCTGTTGTCCCCAGAGTTCAGAAATAGACACAATTAGTCAAAACTTTTGATAGACTTATTTTTAAGCTCCATAAAAGATACTGTCTAAGCAAATTCAAACTCCAGACATGCGGTGAGCTGCCTTGATAGGTGGAGATTTGCCCCTCATTGTGGGGTTTCCAAGGATAAGCTAACTGACCACCTGTTGGAAGTGTGGTAAAAGTTTAATATGGGTTGAACTAAGTGACTCCTGAGGGTTCAGCCAACTCTGAGATCCTGTAATTCTTTGACAGCTGGAATGAGCCACTAATTCTATACTTGTGGATAAATCATTTTATTTCCTTAATTCTCCAGTTGAAGTAAGTAAATAAAGTATCTCCTTTCCTTTTCCTTAAATCACCCCAGGCACTGACTAATACTGAAGTGTAACTTTTTCTCTACTCATAAAACAATGTAAAATTACATGAAGTCTCTTCAGTAGATAAGTATGGGGAAAAAAATAAAATTACTCGTCTTTACTAGAATAATTAAATTTCATGCCTGTTGTTGGCAAACTGCTGATTATCTCTTTTCATAACTATCAGTAACCCCATTTTCCTCCCAAAATTAAGTTTGAACTTTAAAAAAACACACACACATACACTTACCTGTTTCTTGAATGTCCTAAGCTAGCCACTTAGAAACCTAGGTGGTGCAGTGTTTTTTCTCTGGGGTTGTGCTTTAATTTAAAGAGATGAAGCATAAAGAGTGAAGGCACAGGTGATTTCTATAACTTTTTTGCCAGGGAGAACCTTTCATCACTTTGTTAGAGGTAGTATTTTTCATTCAAAGTAATATAATAGTATTTATCAGATAGTAATTTTTGTTTCTACCAGCTGAAGTTGGATATAAGAGTAACTTAAATGTGAAAACTAATTCTGCCTGACTTCTGGTTCATTTATCAGGGCCTGAATTGGTTTGTTTTCAGTTTTTCAGTGTTTACTAGAAGCAGTTTTGCCAAGATCATCTACTTTTAAAGAGAAAAATTTAAGGAGAAAGCTTGTATTAGGATGACCTGTGGCACCTGAGGCAAAATAATCATCATAAAATTATAATAATAACCATAAAAATAAGGGCAAAAACACTCCTGTAAGTAATGGAAGTGAAGAAACCACTTTAAGTGGTTTAAGTGAGTCGATGAAATCCAAGCCTTTACATTCCAATAATTAAGGGCTTTGTATAAATTTGAAAAGAAAAAGTGATGTACAGCATTCCCTTTGAGAATATGAAAGCATAAAGGAAGCAAAGTTATCATGTGGGTAGTTTGTGAAGGTAAGCAACAATTAAAAAGCAAGATAAAGATACACTTAGGTAATAGTGGGAGGATGAGGAAGCTAGTTTTCCTTGACAGTGCACTTGACCGCTCCTGGTGAGGGACTCCATAAATTGTAGGGTATGTGGAGATATTCTCGTAAGTGTGAAATTTATTGCCATTGAAAGTGGCCTTCTTTTCGGTTGTAATTGGACATTATGACACCATTTCCTGTTTTTCTTCTTTCTTTCCTCAGTTATCTGGATTTCTTGAGCTTTTAGTAGAGTACTTTAGAAAATGCCTGATTGACATTTTTGGAATTCTAATGGAATATGAAGTGGGAGACCCCAGTCAAAAAGCACTTGATCACAACGCAAATAAGAAAGATGACAGTCAGTCTTTGGCAGATGACTCTGGGAAGGAAGAAGAAGAAACTGAATGTATTGATTATTATGATGATGAAGATGAGGATGAAGAGGAGGAAGATGAAGAAGATGAGAAGACAGGAGCAGAAGATGAGAGTATGGTTTTTGCCTCTCCTGATGGCAGTGTTGATCCAAAAGAGAGGCCAAAACAAGCAAGTAAATTTGACAAACTACCAATAAAGATAGTAAAGAAGAATAATCTGTTTGTGGTTGACCGATCTGACAAACTAGGCCGGGTTCAGGAATTCAACAGCGGACTTCTCCACTGGCAGCTTGGGGGAGGTGACACAACTGAGCATATCCAGACTCACTTTGAGAGCAAGATGGAAATTCCTCCTCGCCGGCGGATACCTCCTACCCTCAGCTCCCTGGGAAAAAAGAAAGATATGGAAGGAAGAGGTGAGTTTGAGGAGCATCCAGAGAAAAGCATAATAGCAACCATAGACGACGTCTTGTCAGCTCGGCCTGGAGCTTTGCCTGAAGACTCGAACCCTAGTAACCAGACCAAAAGCGGTAAATTTCCCTTTGGTATCCATGAAGCCAAAAGCCACCGGAATATTAAATTGCTTGAGGATGAACCAAGGAGCCGAGATGAGACTCCACTATGCACCATTGCCCACTGGCAGGACTCTTTGGCCAAGCGCTGTATCTGTGTGTCAAATATTGTCCGTAGCTTGTCTTTTGTGCCTGGCAATGACGCTGAAATGTCCAAACATCCAGGCCTGGTGCTGATCCTGGGGAAGCTGATTCTCCTTCACCATGAACATCCAGAGAGAAAACGGGCACCTCAAACATACGAAAAAGAAGAAGAGGAGGACAAAGGGGTGACCTGCAGCAAGGATGAGTGGTGGTGGGACTGCCTCGAGGTCTTAAGGGATAATACATTGGTCACATTAGCCAACATTTCTGGGCAGCTGGACTTGTCTGCTTACACGGAAAGCATCTGCTTGCCAATTTTGGATGGCTTGCTACACTGGATGGTGTGCCCGTCCGCAGAGGCACAGGATCCCTTTCCCACTGTGGGACCCAACTCAGTGCTCTCGCCTCAGAGACTTGTGCTGGAGACCCTGTGTAAGCTCAGCATCCAGGACAATAATGTGGACCTTATCTTGGCCACCCCTCCATTCAGCCGTCAGGAGAAACTCTACGCTACTTTAGTTAGGTACGTTGGAGACCGCAAAAACCCGGTCTGCCGAGAAATGTCCATGGCGCTCTTATCGAACCTTGCCCAAGGGGATGCGTTAGCAGCAAGGGCAATAGCTGTGCAGAAGGGAAGCATCGGAAACTTGATAAGCTTCCTAGAGGATGGGGTCACTATGGCCCAGTACCAGCAGAGCCAGCATAACCTCATGCACATGCAACCTCCACCTCTGGAACCACCTAGCGTAGACATGATGTGCAGGGCGGCCAAGGCCTTGCTGGCCATGGCCAGAGTGGACGAAAACCGCTCAGAGTTCCTTTTGCACGAGGGCCGTTTGCTGGATATCTCGATATCAGCTGTCCTGAACTCTCTGGTTGCGTCTGTCATCTGTGATGTACTCTTTCAGATTGGGCAGTTATGACATACGTGAGAAGCCAAGCATGTGTGGGTGAAGATTAGAGGGTCCCCTGTAACTGGCTGTTTTCTGTTCTTGTTTATCCAGCATAGAAAGAAGGAAAAGAAAATCTTTGCTCCTCTGCCCCATTCACTATTTACCAATTGGGAATTAAAGAAATTAATTTGAACAGTTATAAAATTAATATTTGCTGTCTATGTGTATAAGTACATCCTTTTATTTTATTTTTTTTTTAACCAAAGTTGCTGTCTAGTACATTCAAAGGTCACTTTTTGTTTTCATAGATTTCCTTTTCAGTGTTCTTTTCCATGTTTGTATTGCATATTTTTTGGGAAGCAAATTAGTGACTTAAAAAGTTGTGGTAAAACATATGACCGGAAAACTTCACCACTTTGAAGCAAAAGGTGAAAAACAACATACCAACTTCCTGTGTGTCTTTTTTTTTTCCAGAAAAGAAAAAATACCCATATCCCATCACCCAAACCTCTGTGCAATAGACACTTCTAGTGATGTAGGTATAGGGATCAAGGCGGTGTGTCTGTCGGTAGTCATGCTATGAAATGATATCGGTTTCTCCACAGGAGAATGGTTACCTTAGGCTAGGGGCAAAAACATTTTTTTTTTTAAAGTTAAGATTGAAAACACATACCTGATGACGATCAACGTAAATTGCTTCCTCACCACTACTGTCATGTACGCTATCTATTGTTTGACCTTCCTCAATGACAGTTCTTCACAATTCCTTTAATCATTTTTTAAATATTTTTTTTTTTTACTGCCTGAGGGCCGTGATGTATATAGAAGTTGTACATTGAACATACCCTCATTTTTTTCTTTTCTTTTTCCTTTTTTTTTTTTTTTTTAGTGCGAAGTTTTTAGTTTCTTTTTCATGATGTGGTAACTACAAAGTGATGGTAGATTTAAATAATTTTTTATTTTTATTTTATATATGTTTTTCATTAGGGCCATATCTCCAAAAAAACAAAAAACACAAAAATAAAAAAAACAAAAAACACAAAAAAAAAAAACCGAGGGTAATGTACAAGTTTCTGTATGTATAAAGTCATGCTCTATTTCGGGAGAGCAGCCGATCACAATTGCTTCATGAATCAAGGTGTGGAAATGGTTGCATATGGATTGATTTAGAAAATGGTTATCAGTACAGACAAAAAAAGAAATATACAGAAAAAAGGAAGAAACACAACTTCAGAGATTTTTCAGTGATGAGAATCTGCATTTGTATTTCAAGATAATGTAGTTAAAAAAGAAAAAAGAAAAAAAAACTTGATGTAAATTCCTCCTTTTCCTCTGGCTTAATGAATATCATTTATTCAGTATAAAATCTTTATATGTTCCACATGTTAAGAATAAATGTACATTAAATCTTGTTAAGCACTGTGATGGGTGTTCTTGAATACTGTTCTGGTTTCTTTAAGGATCTACATGGCAACAAAATCAGTTATAAAAAATACTGAAAATTACAATAGTGTACCCACCAACACCCTTGCTGAAGAACCAGAGACTTCTTAGTGGGGTGAGTTAGCTAGTTGTTCTCAAATTGTTCATCTGCTCAGTCATCCTCTGAATCAATAAACCTTTTTTTTTTTTTTTTTGGCTAGGCAATGGGGTAAAGTGACTTGCCCAGAGTCACACAGCTAGTTAAGTGTCAAGTGTCTGAGGCCGGATTTGAACTCAGATTCTCCTGACTCCAGGGCCGGTGCTCTATCCACTATGCCACCTAGCTGCCCCAATAAACTCTTAATAATGTGGAGCTGGGATCCTCTTTAGCTTAAAAGGGAGATGGCCACTAACTTTAGAAATAGTCAGTGTATCCTTAGATGTGATGAGCAAAGCCTCAGGAAGCTTGTTGGTTGGCCCAGAAATACATTCTTCCCTGTTCTGAAACCTGCTCTACCTTAAAGAAAGTTAGACCTGTTTTGTGTTTCCCTCACGTGGCTGAAAATTCTTGGCATGTGTTCATTCCAGCTTAGCGCACCCACCCTACACTAAGTGCGTACCTTGTTAAATGAATGTGTTCATATTCAGCACAGCGAGAGATTAGCATTGACATTTCAGGGCATGACAAGGTTTCTAATGCATCCACATTCTCACCCTCCTCCCTGGTGTACATTAGCTTTGAATACTGTTTTTAAAAAAAAAAAACAAACCTAATTTTAACTTTTCTTCCTGGGTCATTGACTGTTACTGTGTAACGATCAATTTCTTTGAAATTGCTGTATGGTGATACTGTTGGTAGGCATTCTTATTTTTCTGACTCTACCCTTTGCATACTACCCTTGCATTCACAATGTACTCAAGAATTACTGATCCCACAGGCATACTGATTATCTTTTTCCCCATAACTCACTGTAATATATGGAAGAGTTAGGCAAGTACATACAGTTATAATCAGAGTGTGAAACGTGATTCCCTAATGTCACGAAAAAAATAATTTTTCCTACAAGAAGCCTGATCATTTATTTACTCCTACATTACCTACTTTACTTATTACATAATAATGCAAATATGTGTTGAATTAAAACCTTATTTATAATGCTACTTTAGATATGGTTACTAAGAATAGGATTTGATGCTCAGCTTTAAGATCTGGAGGTTTGTCAGAGGAATTCAGTATTATTCTAGCTTCTCTTACAGGGTACAAGAGTGGAAAGTGTTATCCAAACTCTTAAGTAATCTGACATGCCAATTCTCATCAAAAGAGTAAAAAGGAAAAGAAGTAATGACTTTATTTGACATGATTTGATTTATGATCAAACAGTATCCTGGATCAGACCTTTATTAATGTGCCTCTAAATAAGGGTATATATACAAATCGGTTTCTCAAAAGAAAAAAACAGTTTAAAATTTCATCATAAGAGGTTTACATCCCCAGAATCAAGACCTCCAGAAGTCCTTGCAGACTCTGTAGTCTGTATGAGAGCCAACTGATAGCATTGTCCTAGCAATTGGCTTTTGATTTGGTTTTTGTCTTCAGAGATTGGCAAGACACCCCAAACTCAAGTTACTTTGCCCCTCCCCCCCAAAAAAGACAAAGATGCAAAGAAGGTTTAGTATTTTGGAAATCTGCTGTAAGTTGAATCTGCAGGTATTTGAGTGGATAATTTCTTTAGTGTCAGGTAAGAAAGATTGTGGAGTGGCATCTGCTGAGAAAACGCTTTTTTTTCCTTTTTCTTGGTTGAGAATGATGTCAGGCCAGTTTATACTGGTAGAGTTTTTCTCTCCCATTGCTGGCTAACAGTTACAATGGATTTGTTAATGCAGAAAAATAGAAATTCAGGAATCTAAGCTATTAACTACCTCTTTTGTGAAAAGCAGATGGCCTTTACACTGAAACCCATGTATTTAAAAATTTTGTTACATGTTGCACTTTTTTTCATTGTCTACTTAGCTTCAGCATCTCTTGCAGGGAAGGAAAAAGCATATTCTACTTACACCAGAAGTAATTAATTCAATAACATTTACTGAACAAATGGTGTGTGCAAGGCACTCTACGAGGTGCTGAAGAGGTCATAAGATGAATAAGACACAGTCTCCCTTCCCCCTACGCAGGACTTCACACTAGTGGTCCAAGCGACCTATTTTCTTCTTAAGATTTTTGTTTTACCTCCTCATCCTGAGGAGACTAAGCCCTCACCAGTCCCACAATTCTACTTGATTCCCCTACTCAAGTACCCATGTGTAGGAAGCCAAGAAGGTCTCCTGTGCTGCTTTCATGCCACGTAATGATTCCCTTCTGCCACCCCATCCAAGCCTCCCAAAAAAGAAAACCACCTGGGCTAGCTCTTTGCCTTGCAAACATGAGTCCACGAAGAGCATCACCTGTGTATCTTAGGAATACAGTCAGTTTTGGGAAACTGCATACACAGTGAGGAATAAATGTGGCAGTTCATCAATATCAAAAAAGTCCATTTTATCCATTTATGAACTTTACAATACCTGCTTAACAATAATAATAACAATGGCGAATTGGACAGTACCCAATTGGGGAGCATGGATACTTAGGCTCCAGTTTCCTGACCTGTAAAATGGGGATAACTGCCATACCTACCTCACAGGGTTGTTGTGAGGATCAAATGAGACAAATGTTATGTGAAAGCATTTTGAAAATTGTAACATGCTACATAAATGTAAGGTGGTATTCTTCATTTGATACTTCGAGGATTCTGTATTTTCTTTGGTGTGAGCACTCCCTCCACCAGTGCAGATTGCAACCACTACACCTTAGTAGATGGTCTTCTTGAGTTTCTGCTGCCAAAAAGAAAAAAAAAAAGGTCATTATCTGATGACCTATCTTCTGGGGGTGAACCTTTCTGAATTTAGCTAGTCCGGTCTTTGGACAACAGGTGCATAGTCCTTGTCACCAGGCCTATACTCAAATCCTTTCCAGCTTAGTAGGATCTGCTAAAGTTTGTACTCTACTGGAATAGCCTTCAAGGAGGCATTGAAATAGACATTACTGTAAGGTGTTGTCATTATTGAAATGAGGTGGTTGAACTAGATAATGGCTAAGAGGTCCCGTCCAGCTCTAAAATTCAATGTTCTAAATAATAAAATTGACTGTTCTAAATATTATCTCCTATTCCTTCCCCCCTACTCATATTCTGCTGGGATAGGGGTGTGGGGTAGAGCCTAGTGGTCTGTGAGACAAGCAAAGAGTAGGGGAGTAATGGAGAAGTGAGCGGTCCTGGATGATGCTCCGAGTTAGATTCACGAGACCTTGAATAATCAAAAGAGTTAGCTGTAACTATGCAAGGGGGCAGTCGTGTCCGTTCTTCATTTGAAAACCCCAGGGGGAGATTTTGACATTCATAATATGACCATATATATCTCCCATCTATCCAAAACCCCTGGCTTCCTTGTGCTTCTAGGCTAGGAATTCCCAAACCTGATTGGTTTTTTACACCTGAGATAGTATCAAAGGGCATCATATGATGATACTCGGCATCAGTCTTAAAATACATGTCTCACATTACTTTGATGGAAGAAGGCGGCAGGAAGGTGCCATGTAGCCAAACCAGCAATAGCAGGTAGGGAGCAGCCCCAGAATGAGAAAGACCCGTAAGTAGAAAGGCCTTATCTGATTTCTGTTACCTTTATGTAACCCTCTGTTACTCTTTTACCGAGAGAACATATTTTTACTTAAATTGAATCACCTTCCTGGGATGCTTCACTTTTTAGCAAGCTTAGCAATTATAGAAGGGAGACAGAGGGGGGATTCCATTTTAAAGAAGTTGTCTTTTAAAATTCCTAACACTATCTGATGTCAGTGTATCAAATGGTAATATTTTTCCATCTTTAGGATGAATTGCCAACTTTTTGCTCTGATATTTCTTGATTATGTTGAGGACCATCTAGGTCTGGCCTTTTGGCTCTCCAGTATATATATATATACATACGTGTGTGTGTATGTATGTATATGTATATGTATATATATACATATATATATATATAGCTCCAAGAATATTTTTCCGTAAGGATCATTACTTAATTTCCTTTGTTAAATACTAAGTTTGGGGTTCCTAGTAAGAGCTTTCAGCACTGCCCCTCAGATACCCAAAAGGCCCTTATTTAATGTTATAGAGGTGAGTAAAGTTCATGAGGGTCAAATATAATAGTCTGGACTATCCGATGGCCTTTTAAAAAGTGTCTACATCACACCCTTGATTAATGAAACCTTCACTTCCTACTCCTGAGGAAAGTATGAAGTTAAACACCAAAAAGCTAAACTGCCAGATGTGGAGTATGAGAAGTCTTGGAGATTATGACATTGAATCTAATATTCTTTTCATATGAAGTATAGGCCAGAGGAAGTTTAATCCCCAGAGAAAACAAGCTAAGTCTTTTAGACTCGCCTAGCAAGACTTCTCACATTTTGGAAGTGGGCCATATTTCAGTAGGATATGGAAGTGGAATTTAAGTTATTTTTCCCTCAAGTGTAGTAAGCTTAAGGTCATGTAAATAGAGGAAGCCTGACAAAACAGTCTCTGCTTAGATCCTCTGATGAAGCTTCGTGTTTAGCTGGCTCAGACACTGTCGACAACCACTGAAAACCAGAGCCTAGGACCAGGCTTCATCTCCATGAAGATGGACCTGACCAAAAGGTCACTCAGGTAGTTTTTTAAGGTAGGGTTTGCCAAAAGCCTGTCGAAAGAATCATGATCCTACTTACTGGTATATGGCGACTCTTTAGCATTTATATCCTTCAAAAAATTTTTTTTCAATTGAATTTCAGTTATTAGTTGCTCTTTACAAATTGAGACAGAGGGAAAAACAGGCAATGACTATTTGGATCCTTCTGATTGGCCCTGAGAGCTGCTTAAACCAAAGCCATCTTTTCAAGTGGTGGTTATGTCATGAATATATGAGTGTAAATATGCCAT